CCTGGATGTCGAGCGGAACAAAGTCCTCACCGGGTCGTAGTAGTTTGTGCGCATCGGGCAGGTCCGTTGCAAGGAATCGCAACCCTATCTTGGAGCCGAAGCGGGCCAGACCAAGCGCACCTTTGACTGACGATCGCTTACACAGGATTTCAGACAGGGAAGCTCCAGGAAGCCAAATGACTCCGAAGCGTGGGTCCGGCGAGCGATCGTCCCTGGGTTCAATGAAGATGCCAGAGGCCCCAGAGACTGACAAGAGCACCGTGCAGGCCGATTTGGGGATCCTTGCCATGATGGACCATGTGGTGCTGTCTTCTGGCTTAGCCTTGGAGCCAAGGTGATGGAATTGTCTGGCCCAGAGATCCAGTATCAGAGGAGTGACCTCGTCGACAGGAGGGTGGTACATCGGGCATTGGTCTCCGCAGCTGTTGAGACGGCACGTGCGGAAGAGTGGTTGGACAACCTGGAGCTGCCGAACTGGACTCTTGACGAAGGCTTGCCAATCGCCAGGCAAGGTATCCTTGTATACCACAATCCGGACTGATTGGGTAGGAGTATGCTCAACTTGAAGGCTGGCATTCAAGTGTCTGGTGATTTGGCCCGTGCCGAGCTGGATGAGTGAGCCACTGACGAGGACTGACTCCTTCGAAGTGCAGTGGTGTGCCGGAAAGCGAAGATCCACAATCGGCAGATTGCCTCGGGCAGCAGTTGGCACCGGTGTTGTGGAGAGAAGGGCCAGCGGCTTTGTAGCAATGGCCTTGTCCTGTTGAAGGAAGGGGAGTGCCTCCTGCACAGTGCAAAAGGCAATGCCTTGCTGGTCCGGACCGACCTGCCTGAACGGAAGCATTGTTGCGGTGGACCCATCTGAACACTTGAAAGTGTCCGGGACGAGGGCAAGTTGCTGTGGATCAGGAAGAACCAGAGCCGGCATGTTCCTGCCTGTTTTGTCTGGCTTGGCTTTCCGGTTTGAGGGCTGAATCTTGAACTGCGACTGTGCTGAGACGCGTATTTTCGCCGCCAATTCGTCGTGCTTGATCCACATGAAGGCCACCTTCGAGGCAGCTGCCTTGAGATGGGCCCAAGGATTCTTACCTGCGAGGGCTTGTGTGATCTCTGCTGGAGGCAAGTGTCGGAGTGCATGGTCGATCCTCTCTTCAACCTTGTCATCAGGAACACCCTTGCACCAAGAGAGTGGAGAGTGATTGCCGAGCCGGATGCGTGAGTGGTCCACAGCCGGAGGGACCAAAACTATGGAAGGAGGCCTGGAGCACAGTTGTCAGGCCAATAGGGTCCTCAGTGAAGCCCGAGCCATCTAGGCCGAGTGCTGCCGCCAGATGAGCAAGCAGGACACATCCACAGGTGGTAGATTCAAACTGTTGGAAGTGGCGGCGCATCGTGACCAATGGCGTTGGCAGTTGCCAGAAGCGTGCCAGCAAGGAGACAAGCTGAGTAGCTTCCAAAAGTGGCACAGAAAAAAGGCCGTCGTAACAGAGAGCCTCGAGCTGGTTCTCATCAAGTCGTAGATGGATCAAGCACCAGTGGCCCTGTCCCACAAGCGGAATGAGACATTCCCTGGGCGGACTGGTTGGGATGGCTTCCATGCCAGCATCGTGCAGCACAGCATGGGCTGTCCAGGGATTGATGAGGAGAGGATTCCGTGGCGAGTGGTCCTGCAGAAGGAGGGAGATTGGCCAGATGTGGGAAGCAGCAAGGCCCGGTTGGTGGGTGGTCAACGGACGGGTGGTGGTAGTGGGCTGCCCAGAGCCAATGAGATCGTAGAGGAGGAAGGTGCCGGATGTCCACAAACGCTGGTCAGCCGGTTGCTTGCTGCCGTCCAGTGAGTAGATCGGGATGCCATAGTGCCACTGTGGAAAATCCCAAAGTAGCTGGAAGAGGAAGGTGCCAGCAGGCACGCAGTGCACGAAGGGGCCATGCTCGGTGAGGATTTGGACGCAGAGCGATGAGGGCGGTTGTGGCAAACTGGCCTTCTTGGTCTGCAGGACCAGGTTGTACAGCCCATGCCTGCCCTGCGCATGGAGGATGGCCTCCTGTGAGAGCGCGTGCTGGCCATCAATGATCCTTGGGATTGTCCCCCAGGGTCGCCACTTGTGCTCAGCCTGGAGCAGGTCTGCAAGTTGTAGTAGCCCAGTCCTTGAGGTAGGAATGGGTGTGCCCTCGTGGTGGATGCTGATAAGCGCATCATCGTGTGATGCAGAGGCCAGAGGTGGTGTCGATCAAAGAGCAGGTGCTGCTTGAAATCCCTGAGGGCATGCTCAGGGGAGGGTAGTACGCTCCTGCCGGGAGCTTCATCGACAGCAAAAGCCTGGAAGAGATGGCCAATAACCCAGAGTGCCTGCAAGGGTGATGCAACCTGTCCCAGCAAGCAGAGACTGAGGAAGAGGTCATCACACAGGCGAAGTTGGGCTGGTATGGCCAAGAGAAGAGCCATCTCCTTTGGGTGCAAGTACCTGAGTTGATCCAAAGCTTGAGAAAGGACTAGGATGCCCCGAAGACCGCCGGTGCGAAGCCTGTGCAGGGTGAAGGGACCTGTGCGGCAACCACAGGGGCAGGCCGAGAAGGCACAGCCGTAGGAGTGGAGGAGTGTGGGGCAGAGGCCCGTAAGCACAAGTTGCCGTTGATCACTGCCGAAATCAGGGTCATGGAAACACTGCAAGGCAAACTCCGAGGGGACCAAGCTGGTTTCCACGTCACGGGTCCAAGAGGGCCATTCGGGGATGGCCGATCGAACCTGTTGAAACTCTTCATCAATTGGCCAAGGAATGAACAGGGAGAGATCCAGCCGGAGGGGTGCCAAAACCACCCACCACCTAGAGCGGCGAGAAGGCCACTGGTGGTGCAAATGCAAGACAACGTCCTTGATCTGAAAGCACATAGCTGATGCCAATTGCAAAAGTGCGGTCTGTACTCTTGTGCAAAGTTTGGCACCTGGGACACATTCAAGGATGAGACCACGCGCCTGCATGCAGTAAGCACTTCTGAGAATACCCAAAAAGGCCAAGCTGCTACTGTCTGACATGGCACGTCCATCGCCCTGCGTGGAAAAGGGCTGACAAGGAAATCCGGCAGCGAGAAAGGTCGGGAGTTCCGGGTGTACCTCGTGCAAAGCGTGAGTAGCCTTCCAGTCAGTGATGTCCATCTCCAACACACAGGGTGAGTGGTTCGCTCTCAAAACCTCACAACAGTGGTGGTTCTTGTCCAACTGGGCTAGAACACGGGCGCCGAAGGGCAGGGCACCAATGCCGATGCATCCAATGCCCGCACAAGCCTCCTTCAGATACCATCCTGTATGGTCCTGAACTGCATGGGGAACAAATCGGGTGTGCCTATCAGGTGAAAGGGTCAGCCTGTCATCCTTCAAAACAACCGGGACGAAGTAGATCGTTGCAGTCTCACCCACAAGAAGCAGATCTTCCGGGATCCCGATTTGCTGAAGGGAGTGCATCACCAACGCGGTGTTCACCCCACGGCCTTTGATGGCGCCAGAAAATCTAGAGCCCACCGACGGGCTGTCCAGCCAACTGATGCAACCAACATGGGCCATGGCAAGGTGAACCACCCTCTGGCGTTCGGCTGACGTAGGCTCACCAGCTGACAGGGGCCAGAGCTCGAGCCTGGTAAGTGGAAACCAAAACCAAAACCTGCGTAACCCCTCCTGTTTAATTTTGAGCCACACCCAAGTTGCGAGAGGCACCAAACGCGATGCAGGCAAATCTGAATGCGCCCATTTGCAGCAAATCGACACAAAACAGCTCCCAAAAAACGATGGCTGTTAAATCGGGTGGCTGCACGAATCGAACCATGCCCCTTCTGGGTTCATTGTCGGGAAATTGACCATGGTATTTGGCACAGGGCTGGCATGCGAAACAATGTGCAAACAGAACAAGCGAAACCAACTACCCAATGTGGTCTTTATCCTTTCTATGATGTAGGCCCGAGTTCTCTTGGGGGCAGCCTGGTTGGAAACCCCTCTGGCGCTTCCGGAAGGAGGGTGCCCACTCCTAGTACCTGAAATGTGTACTTCCCTTCCACCATCTGGGTGAATCAAAATCTCAACATGGTGGACCCCTTTTGGTTGGTATCTCAAGGGAAACTCAAAGGAAACCAACCAGTTTAAAGGACCGAATCCGGTTTGGAGAAGCCAAATCGATCTGAAATAAGGCTTTCCTGAGAAAGTCACCGTCGGGTGAGGTAGCGAGCCCACTTTGCGTGGCTACTTGCCAACATCCAAAAAGGGGGTTAGATCCTCTTGGGGCACTCAAAAGAGCCGGGAGGCTTCAACGTTTGCCAACATGCAAAGCGTGAGCGCAACCAGGACTCCGACGACCCAACGCTTGCCAACTCAACCTGCAACAAGTGAGACATGTCTCCACCGTTTGGGTTGTCTAATTAATGTGATGTTTAAAACACCCCTGGGATGAAAAGGATCGGCACTCCAGTTGTCAGGGGCAGCCTGTTTTCAACAGGAACCCCCTCCAAACCCGGGTGTCCAGTAGCCTGAATTGAACCAGTTCAGCCGAAGGCCGCCATCGATCCAACGTCCAAAAAGTGGAGTGCTCGCGGTATGAAAGGGAAAATGACAGAACACCACCTTGGATCAATCTCCATAGCCTTTGGGCTGGGAATAAAACGCAAAGTTTACAGTTTGCCAACGAAACCACCGTTTTGCGCTTCCAACATCTGCTTTCAAGAGGGGAGCCTGTTTTTTGTTTCTGCCCAAACTCGTGTTGACCTCCATTTTACCTTGTATGAGCCCACAAAACAAGCGGTTGGGGGTCAAAAGAGCAAACCAATTGGCAATTGCTTCTCAGAAAGTCAGACCAGACTCCTTGCACGCTTTTTAAAAGGGACAAGACAACTACCAAGGGTTTGGGGCTCCAGACCCCCCTTTTTGGAAGGTTTCCAGAAAACAGCCAATTTTTGCAGGGCTCCATTTTCAGAAACACTCAAGCGTCCGGTGTTCGAACCAATTCCGGGGCCACCGCCAGAAACAGCGCGAGGCGCCAAGCCATCCTCGGCGCAGTTCGCGCGCAACGCGGCGCTCGGTTTTCGAGCTGGGCGCTTCGGTTCTCTGAAGCCCAAGTAATCTCAGCTTTCGATTCACAAAATTTGCTACAATAAAACATGTTTTTGTTTTCGGAGATCAAAAAAATGCAATACTAAATTTAAATTAGGCCAATAATTCGCCTCGGCCCCAAAGGGGCCAAGGGCGCTCAGATCTCTTGCTGGATGGGCAAGGCCTGTTTCATACACACTTGGGCCTGAGGCTGGGTGGCGAGTTGGCTGGGCTGGGCCTGAGGCCAGTCTCAGGCTGGCGTACTTTGAGACGGGGCTGGGCCTGCTGGATGACTTGGGGCCCAGACGCGAGCAGGAGGTCAAGGCCTGGCCAGCCTGGGCTGAGTTGCTTGGGCAGCCGGACTGAGGGGCTGGGGCGCGTCAGACGGGCTTGGTGGCTGGCATAGCTTGAGACCAGTTTCAGACACGTGAGACTGGGTCGTTGGCGTTAGACAAACCTCATGTTGGGGCCGGCGGCTGGGCGCTGGGCTGGGCTTGCTGGATGACTTGGGGTAGGCCTGTTTCAGACAAGCTTGGGCCTGAGGCTGGGTGGGGCTGACAGGCCTGGCCAGCAGGCGGGTTGCTGGTTGGGCTGGGCCTGAGCCTAGTCTCAGACACGTCAGGCAGGCCTGGCCACCAGGAGGTCATGCTTTTCAGGACAAAAAAGCAATTTTTTAGTGATTTTCGCAATTGTCAGCACATTTTCGACAAAAATGGACCCATGGAGCTGGACGCCGACGAACCCCGAAAATTTCAAGGCCCGCCGGACAGGATTTTGGGTCCAGCCGACATGGGTGGGGGGGGTGGGGGGCGGCCCAAATTTTGCTGGCGGCAGGGCTTCCCCAGCCCGCCCAGCCCAAGTTCCAGGCACAACCAGCAGCCTGCTCCGGCTGCCCGGCAGCCAGCAACCCACCCATACCTTCGCAGCCTTGTGGCTGAGACTAGCTTCAGGCCCAGCCCAAAGCCTGCCCAGCCCAGGCCCCAGCGCATCTCAGGGCATGCCAGCCACTACCGGCCCCCAGCCCAGCCCACCAGCAGGCTCAGCCCAGTGTGCCAAGGTCAGGTTTGTCTAACGTGTCTGAGACTGGCCTCAGGCCAACGACCAGTCTCACGTGTCTGAGACTGGTCTCAAGCTACGCCAGCTACTCAGCAGCCCAGGCTGACCAGGCCCCTTCGGCGCAGTCTGAGACTCAAGGTGTGCCAGCCTGAGACTAGCCTCAGGCCCAGTCCCTCAGCCCGCCTGCTGGCGTGTCTTACGTGTCTGCGACTGGCCTCAGGCCCAGCCTAGCCAGCAACCCGCTACCCGGCCTCAGCCCATCCAGCAACCCGCCCAAGCACAGCTCAGCCCAGCCAGCCGAAGTTCCAGGCGCAACCAACACCATAATCCAGCTGCCCAGCACCACCCATGGCTTCGCAGCCTCGTGGCTGAGACTAGCTTCAGGCCCAGCCCAACCAGCAACCCGCCTAAGCCAACCCCACCCAAGCCCACCCGGTTTGAGACTCGCAGGCCTCAGCCTATCTAGCGCCGAGACTGGGCCTCACCAGCCTGGGCTCAACTGGCGTCTAGCCCAGCCCAGTCCGCCTGCTGAAACTGGCCTCAGGCCCAGCCCAGCCATAGCCCAGCCCCCTCAGTGCGGCTGCCCAGCCCGCCGTAAACTAGCTTCAGCTCAACCAACAACCCACGCAAGCAAGGTCCAGCCAAGCTGCCCGAGACTAGCTTCAGGCCCAGCGCAGGCTTATCTGATGTGTCTGAGACTAGCCTGTGGCCCAGCCCAACCAGGCGAGGCCGGCTTGTCTGACTTGTCTGGAGCCAGCTTCAGGTATTCGGACCTTCCCAACACTGGATTTCGGTGTTCCTGACCCTTCCCTCAAACTAGAGGCGGGCAACGCGAAGCGTTTACAATTACTAAAGTTGATTACTGCTCACGACCAAAGTTAGGTCTCCTCAAAAATGCTCGAAATGTTAGGCTCTAAATAGGAAACATCATCTGAAAATACGGTGATTGTTTTTTTTCTCGGCCAGAGCTAAACTGAAAAAGGGGACCTGCTCGTTCTGTTTGACACCGAAGCGAGCGTTTTGTGTGCACACAAGGCAAAATGGAGGTACACAAGATAGAGAAAATTTAAGTGGAAATCGGGGACCACAAAAGCTGTCGCCTTTGGACCAAACTGCAAGAGCAACAAACACCTCAAATGCAAAGAAGGAATCAACAAATGTGTCTTCAAGTAGAAGCTTGACTCCAATGCTAGGCTTCGGTGCTCTGTTTGGTTTCGAAGTAAAGAAAACGACCCAACAACCAGCAAACGAGCACCTTCGAACATGGACTCATGGACATGATCTGCATGTTTGGATCCCCCATGTTTGAGTTTTTCCGCCAGCAAATTCATAGACGAGTCGAGTGGTTTTTTCTTGCTCGACACCTCCCAAGCACTGGCAGCCCTCCATTGACGTCAGATTCATGACCCCCCAACCATCCACCACCGAAGGGGGCCTATGGTGGATGAATTCCCAACCGAAAAAGCAACTCTACGTAGTTAGGCACCAACAAGAACGGGCCCCTGGAACATACCAACAGGTAGTGTGGTGTTTCACAAACCAAAGCGTCAAGAAAGCACACAAAGCCCGGCTGCCCACACAGACCTCCCAATATTGGCTCAAAGGCTCATGGACTGGCAACATCGATCCATGTCTTTGATTCCGCCAGCCAGGTGTTCACCCATTTGCCCGTGTCAACATAGGGGGAGGCCATTTCCTTTGGCTTCCTTTGAAGGCACACAAGATACCCGCGGATCTATACAACCATAGGTGTCCTTTTTAGGGGAAATAGATGGATATCCCTCATAGACACAAGGCAAACCAGGAATCACCATCTATTTTTCTACCAAAACCAACCAAAAAGGACACCCATGTATGCAGAACTCCAAGCTGGTGCCCGACCATGCTGAAGCTCTTCGCCAGACATGGGGCTCCGGGCGCCTTCATTGCAACCGGCGCGCCGCGGAAGCAAATTTTCCGCGGAGCTTTCGGGCCAAAAGGAAAAAAACGCGGACGGAAAGGGCTGGCGCTGTTGCCGAAGTGAAGTCACTCGATTCCATTTGCCATCCCACCTCAATCCCTGGCCCAAATCTGTGGTTCGCCAAAAAAATAGTTGCAGATTCGGTTCATATATAGTTTACCCCGAGATAAAACACTTTGGGAGAAGAAGCCAGAATTCAGAAAATGCCCCCAATCAACGCATTATTTTCCTTGTGCGAAAATGTCTGGGGAATGGGCCTTTGTTGGGCTACCCCCCCTCATTCCATACATTACATTGGGTGTGGAGATCATTACCGGCATAGCCCTGATGAAAAGAACCATTCACAATTTGGACAATGGCGAAAATTTACCTAAAGCAAGTAACTTGGATCCACTGAGTAGTTTGGACTCAGCGCCCGGTGACATGGAGTTGGTAAAATGTGGTATTTGCTTCATTGGGACTGCTTCATGAGGAATATGGGACAGTGAGTGGGCAAAATCCAAGAAGAAACCCTTCCGGCAAACCAAACGAAACTCATGAAAACAGACCAAACACATAAACAGCAACTGAAAGCGCAAACCACATCCATGCGCGTTTGCCCAAAGAGGTGTTCCTTGGTTGCTCGACAAGGCGTGTCAGCCGTTTCCCCCTTCCCTTCGCTTATTGCATGGGAGTTCTCCTCTGCCGCTGAGACAAAGGCTTGTGTCTAACTCTGGGACCCCTCCGGTGCGCGTACGGACTCTGCAAAACCGCATACTTGTTGTCTGATTAGTGGGGCAGCATGCCTCCAGCATGTCGAATGACGCCGGGAAGAAAACACCATCGAACCTTCGCCCTTTCCAGTATCGAGCCCTCTTTTGAGACATCTCGGAAGTGAGGGGATCCCATGCATGCCTTATGGCCGTCCAATTGGTCCGAAGTAACTGGGCACGCAAAAAGGGCCATGGAGCAACTTATGACTCCTGGCGTGAGGGGGAGAAAGGCCCCTGCTGGATGGGAGCCTTTCCTGAAACCTTCGACAACTCTTAAGAGAACTATGTTCCAGCTTGCATTCTTGGTCGCTCTCATACCTGAACATTCCCCGTGTCACGCGTAAAGGATGGGATTCAGGAACCCGCATGGCCTCTGTACAGCCAAATGATACATTTGTAGTCACTGATGTTTGGCGGGGTGCCCTCATAAGTGCGCAGCCCACTCCGTGGGGTTGGTCCTACCTGTAACCCGCGGAATGGGGACTTAAGTGGTGATATAAACGTAAAAGTGTGTTAAGTGGGCCTGAGCTGGTCATAGGATCAGCCCCACTTAGAGGACTGATCAGCACCCAAGTGGCGTCCGTGGGATGCGAATCCAAGCCCGGCAGTTCCTCCAACGCCTTCGCGGCATCGAGGTCATCTGGCGAGATAAGCAGAAACGACTTGCTGGTGCGATAGGACCGACTCCGGGAACCAGCAAGTTTCGGGACTCCCAACTTACTAGCAGGTGAGCTCGCCGAAAAATCCGCCGTGCTGGGACCAGTCCTGGGACCGGTCCTGGGACTTGCTGCTTCAGATTACTTGTAGTCAGCCAAAACCGGTTGCAGGACCGGCCCGGGACGAGTCCCAGGACCGGTGCTGGGACCAGTCCTGGTGTGGTAGTAGAGGATCCCTGATCTATTCTGCAAGAGAGTCCAATACGTCGAGTCAAACCGCCAGACCTGGTCCCAAGTCCCGGTCCCTGCCGGGGCAGTTTCGGGAGGGCCAGTTTCAGGGCGACCCCGGGAGAGGCGACTGCTCCCGGGCCAACTTGAAGTGACTTGGGCGCAAGCCGGCCCAAGCAGTAATTGACAGACTAGCTGCCATATTTCTGACTTTTCCGTTAATCCTTGTTTGTGGTCGTAGAGGATCTTATAAGTGGTCCCTGGTTTGCGGACGTGTTTCAGGACCGGTCCTTATGACTTTTCC